CATTGAAAATGTAAAATCTGGTTCTATTCTTAACAGAAAGAATCCAATGTAGCGCCCATAAGAAAAAATAAAGTTGATGATGGTGGCCGGAAGACGAAACATCGTATATAGACGTATTAATCCCCATTACGAAGCCCAAAACGCTACACACGACCGATCATACCAAGCCTGATACACTTTTGTGAAGCCCGCTCACGGGCTTCGTCCTACTGATGGGCACTTCAGCAAGATTGACATCTGACCGTCTTTGGTCGAAAGTCAGCCATTAGGTGCTATTAGTTTCTGATCTGTTAAATCATTTTCTCATGACTTTCCTAACTGAATTTTTGCATGGGGTCCCCAAAAACTAACCGGAGACAAGTATCTTTATAATCGCGTACGAGTGATGGTTCTCAGTGAGTCTGAAAGAGAGTTTAATTTGAACTGGTTGAGAAATTTTTATACTTTACCGGAGCCGCCTGACAGCGACTCTCGGAGGTGGTCTTTGGTTCTGCTTCGTTGGCCTCCTGTGTTTGTCCCTCTCTCGGAATCTGGGGTCATCCCTGTTTAATGCGTTGTGTAAGTCACTTAGCGCTGCGTTGTCGTGTGCTCGAATTCTGTCGAACGTGTCCTCTTCGTGTTTTCGTCATGTATGCGTCCTCGTAGTGTATGTTCAGGTCTAGATCTCGGAATATGTACCTATTTGGTACATATCTTGGAGTGTTTACGGCGGCCCTTACGCACGCGTTCATAAACGACTGGATCTGTCTTCTGTATGTCGCTGCGCACTGGCCCCAGGCAGTGCAGGCATACAGGATTATCGGTAATATTACGATCTTAATCATTAGCAACTTTACTTTCAGTCCCATGTTTCTTCTTCGATCTCGCCATTCTTATTCTCTGCCGTACCTGAGACCTGAACGTTAATCTTCTGTCTAGGTTGACCCCCAAGTATCTGGCTTTGAAATATAGCCCGGGATTCGTTATGAGGGAAAATATCTTAAGATATACACCTTTAGTTCTCGCGATCTAAGGTAAGGGGCGCTCTACTAGATGTGTATAAAATCGTCTTTATATTCAGTTTTGAACTTTGTGAAATTCAATTTTTTGAGAGGATTGGGGACAGGATTATACTTTCGTCAAATTTGGTACCGCCTGAACACTTCTGTTTTGAATTTTGGCATTGCAATAATATTTTTATATCGAATATTCAGGTTTATGGAATAAAACAGACAGCGTGAAGTAACCTTCTTTTCTCCATGTTTAGCCATCCAATTTCTTGAAGCTTATATGAGATCCTGTGTCGCCGACCAATACCAAAAATTAACCTAAGGCACGAGTTTTGAACTTTTTGAATCTTATTTTTGTATTGATTGGCTAAACATGGGCCATAAAGAACATCGGCATAATTGAAAACTGAAATCACCAAAGACTCACATAAGGACTTTTTCACATAAATAGGCAGAATATGTCAGTTACCATAAATGATTTTCAGTGAAGAATAGGCAAATTGTAAAAGTTTATTAATGAATATTTCAAATATCAGATCAACATCAACCAAAGCACCAAGATTTTATGCTCCACTAACAATATCTAGTGGCTCATTTCGAATGCAGATATTCACAGTAATTCACTATGGAACGGTGAAATCTTGGACCAAAGATCATTACATTTGATTTACTAGGGTTTATAAATAAACAGTGGTCCCTTGCCAATTCAACAAATCCATTTATATCTGCATTGATAATATCACAAGCATTGTCTGCCATTTTCTCCGGAAAGCTGTGGTATACTTGAGTATCATCAGCATATAAATGCACATGACAAGTGTGAAGAGCCTGTAGTTGGATGTATATATAGACAACAATAAAGGGCCGAATATGGATCCTTGAGGTACCCCTGATTTGATATATAAGGTATCTGAGTTGTATTCCTCTATACTAACCAGTTGCTGTCTTCTTTTCAAATAGTCCGTCAATAATGCAAGAGCGTTGGCAGAAAAACCATTATAATAAAAAATGCTTAACAAAAGATTGTGATTAATAGTATTAAACGCCCGGTTTCATCTATTGCTTCCATTATATATCATCGACAATATGTAGAAGGGCATTTAAACAGCTATGCCCTTTCCAAAATCCCAATTGAACAGAAGGCATCAGAGAAAAGTTCAAAATATGGTTTTTAATTTGAAACTCCATGGCTACCTACAGGATTTTTTACAATACAGGCAGGATACTGATACCCCTCAAATCTTTAAATATCATTGGATTTTGTGTTTTAGGCAGAACCTTCACAATGGCTCTTTTCCAGATAGTTGGGCAGACATTCTCAGTTGAACAGAAGTTTATGATATGGGTAATATAGGGTACGATATGAGGGTAACACAGCTTTATCATCTTATTACTCAACCCATTGCATCCTTTATAAAGCATATGTTTTTATTTCACAAATAGTTTTGTAAACAAACAGATCGTTAATTTAGTCAAAATTGAAGTCAGTATCAACCACTTTCTTATTTTTATAAAAATTCAATAAATCTTGTGGTGGTTCATTTTGTGGAACTGATTCTACAAAAAACCTATTCAATTCATGAGGGTTTTTCAAAATTTCCGATTTACCATGTTTCTTTCCAGGTATGAATTTGTTAGACTTAGAGTTTTTCACATGTCCTTTGATGAAGTGTTGTTATCAAATTCATGGGCAAAATAGTCTTTTTTTTTCTGTTTTAATAGCCTGGTTGATTAGATTACTCATTTGCCTATAGAAATCCAAGTGCCTTTGTAATTTTGTTCTCTTACATTTTGCCCTTTTAGCAATAACTATTTTTATCACATCCGTCAACCATGGAGCTTTCAGTTTTGATACTCTGGAAGTAGTTATTGGCATATGTTTATCAAATAAGTTATTCAAGCAATTTACCAAATATGAAACTTTCTCTTCAATAAATTCTTGGTCATATATTTAAAAAATTAAGTATTGAACATATCTACCTGAAAAAGATCTTGGTTAATGGCTTTGAAGCTCCTGTCTGTAAAGAGTTTGGGGTCCTGTTGCTTTTCACGTACTCTCAACTTACAATATACTATATCGTGATCAGAAATGTTGTGAGGTTTAATACCATTCTCTACCCCAGTTCCCTCTTGGACTATAAAGTCCAAACGACTTGCCGACGTGGCTGTAACCCTAGTAGGAACATCCATCAACTGAGAAAGATTCAGTGTATTCAGTATTGAGTAAAACTTTTCAACACAACTATTCCCATTATCCAATAAATTTAAATTAAAACCCCCATGCATATAATTTGGTCTACCGTTGGTCCTATTGCAGCCAAGCACTGTTCCCATATTTTTCCAGCTGATCCCACCTGTTTAGAAGTTCCCCCAACAATTTCCATTTACTCCTTAGTAAAAGCCTCATTAATCACCATTTTGCTGGCTTTTATCATCTATTTTTAGTTTTAATTCTTTATTGTAAATTTTAATTTGATATTCAAAACTTTCAAACAATGTATCCTCAATCTTTATGGCAAATCTCTCTGGTATTAGTCAAGATATGTCCAACAAGAAAACTTTCTTAAAACTGGCTATCAACACCTAGAAACTGAAATGGTCATATTGTGGTCACTGATCAGTCACCTCCAATTCATTCTGGGACCTTTCTCTGCCACTACCACAAAGAAAGGGGCAGCTGAGATTGTCACATTGTTTGGAATCATTCTTTGGATGGTAATGGAAAACCTACATGTTCGAGTAAAGAAAGAAAAAAGTTCACGAAATCCTTATCGATTCATAAACGAATCGGTTTTCACCAGCTGAAAAATTCAGAGAAAAACTGACTGTTACTATACATTTTCCTTTGAAGTATTGGATATGAGCTATTGTGGAGCCGATAATGTAGTAGCCCCTTGTCTTGTGTGTGATAAATAAAACCTTGTGTTTCTCTATTGTGTAAGAGCATGCATCATATGTTGAAGGGTGAGGACAGTGTCCTATGAAAGTCTAATAAAATCAGATTAATATGGACACTGATAAAAAGATAAACATGATAGCATAGCAGAGTACGAAATTATTATGAACATAATCAATGCAATATGTCATCAATTTTATTTCAATACCATTCATAGATGTAGCACTAACAACTTTTTATTATATCTTAAATTCGGAGGCATTGAAAGTGCTTTCGTTGTCTGGTCTTGGAGTTTACTTCTTCAGTTTGAATCAATGGTTTTGTAATCTACTATCAAAATTTCGAATGAAAAGTTGGCCTAGGCCAGCATAATTTCATATGAGAATGCGGAAGAAGATTAGATCTCCTCGGATACTACACTGCTAGAAAGCGATAAGGTTTGCCAGGTGCAGCTTTCAGTATATGTGGGTTGGTTTCTAACAGATTTTAATCACGCATCGAAACTGGAACCATATTGGACATAAATATTCTTCTGGCACGTTTACATGTTAACAGAATAAGACTGGACCAGGTGAGGTCTCAGAAGTGATGAAACACACTGATTCTAAGTGTCAGGTAACTGTTTGTAGTTTGTAATTGATTACATCGTAATGTGTAAGAAAAAATTGATTGTTTTTCCATATGCAAGACGACACATTCAGAGCTCTGTTACGCCAGCAACACAAAGTACGGAAATCGCATTTAGAAAATTAGGTACTTTTCAGGTGCTTTTTAGGTATCGAAGTCAAAAATTAGGTGCTCTGTAACTTACACCGCAACTCAATACTCAAAGTTGCGTTGCTAGCAGTATGTGATGCTAGCAACGCAATGAAAATAATAATAAAATAATAAACTTGAAAAAAGGAGGATTATTAGATGGGTAACTAACAGTATTTACAAGACTTTGTCGAAAAGATGGAAAATCTTCAGTTGACTTGATTTTGTGGATGAAGTGCGCTATTTTGTTTTACGTCGGTGAGACCCTCAATTAGGTGAATTTGCTAAATTATTACCAGACCTTAATTTTGTCAACTTCCTATGAAGAGAAAATATTGTTAAAGACGACTTTTTTTTAGTTCTCAGATGCGGCTTCTGGTGGAGAATGGCAGGTATCAAAATACCAGTGAGACGATTCCCTTAGTGCAAGTTAGGAACGTAATTGACTTCATGCCTCAATTGAAATATATGTTGAGTGGAATGTTGACCTCCGATGTGGCATCGAAGAGGCAAAGGAATAGCTAGGAGTGGGTTTCCTGGGGGGGCATCTATGACTATAATATTGACTTCTATAATTATTAGTGAAGTGCAACAGTCCCTATATGAAAACATTATATTGTTTTATAAAAGTTGTTCCTAATGTGTAAAAATTATGCAGAACTCGTTAATTGAAAGTGAAACATTACATGAATAACTGCGGTATTTGAGGTAATGTTTTATTTTTTTACGATTTTGACTTGTACATTTATCTTTAACATGTTGTGTGACATTTCAACAGATATTTTAAATTATTATCACTTGAACAGCTGCCACCAAACATGTCCGTGATTCAAAACCATTCGTTGAAGTTGAGGTAGATTTAATTTTCTGAAGTTTATTTTCTAATGGTTTCGAAAATGTGCAATTCAAGACCTAAATTATGATGTTCTTAATTAATTTGAATCTTTTTACATGCTAAGTTTCACTGAAATTTTTTTGCATAACTCCTGTATACGATTCCAGAACTGTGATGTTAGGATACGGACATATATGATGTGTATTTTTTTTTTTGAATTGTATATTGATGATTTTTCACTTCAGGAATCGTATTCAGAATGTATGTTTACAAGACCAATATTTTTGATGAATCAGTGGTGCACTGTAAGGACAATTAATTCAATGTCTAACCCTTAATTTATTGTTTGGTGATATTAGTGTAAGGATTTACCTATATTTCTGCACTGCAAATTTTTGTGCGTTCGCTAGTCACGGAGGTGTGTGAACTGATGCAATCCACAATATTCACAGTTTCAGTTTTCAAGTATCATATTTTCATTGATAATTGCATTTTTATTTATTGAGTTTCTGCGTCATTTCGATCTGTCACTCAAAATTTCAAAAATAATCCGTTCTACGGTCCAAGGCTTTGCTACAAGCTCAGTTCCTAGCCCAACATTTGTTTTAGGAGATGGAGAACTGAATAGAAACTAGTAAATGTGGCTGATTTGATTCCACGTCAACCACGTTGATAGGTGAGCACATGATCAATTATCATGTAAGAACTTTTTATAGTTTTGTTAGGACTCTAATTCTTTTAATGTAATTTATATATTGATTTTATATTCAACTTTGTTTTTTCATAAATTTTCTATACGATAATGATTTTTATTCTTTCACAATGAATTTTCCACTTTTTAAAAATTGTTTGTCAATACCAGCCTCTGATTTTTTTTGCTTTTCTTGCAAATGTTAGTAGATACTTCAGAAAATTTCCTATCAAGATATTGGATTCGAGGTGCTTCTTTCTTTTGCTCATAGAATATTGAATGAACCGATGTTAGTTATTATTTTACACATAATATCAGTCAAACATTAGAGACAGAAAAGAGTCTAATATTTCCCTGTCGAAAATTAGCACTTGATAACGTGAATATCTTCTTACAGAGTTTATTGTCCGTACTTCCACTCTCAAAATACGTTATCATAGATTTCACATAAATATTCCATCCACATATGTAATTTAATGTCATGATGATAATCTGAGAAGTAGTTTAATCTGTTAGAAATGTTGAATGTAACATTTTCCTCTTCATGTTTTAAATTTTTGAAATCATCAGAATATATTTCAACATGGAGCAAAATATATTCTTGTCAGTTGTAAGGTCAATTGGGAAAGAGTTAATTTTTCCAGATGTATTATTTATAGAGAATACTATTTCCAAAAACTAATCAGAAATTCAACTGAAAGCCAAAGTTTCAACTTTGTGGAAATGACGTGTAGTCTTGGTGTTCGCAAAGTCTATATTGTGTCCTGTCTCTTGATGATGTTTGGACAGGGCTGAGGATGGATCTGACTTTCAGATAGCAAATTGATGTTCGTATACTCTACTTGTCACGTGTCTGTTGATTTGGCCTACATGTGAAGTCTTGTGATTTTGATAGTGTGTTGTTTCCCCTTCGGCTTTGAAGCCATTTTCAAGAAGCTATCACTTCACTGAGGTCTGAGGAGTAGGCAAATTAAGGCCTCAGTGTAGTCATAGCTTCTTGAAAATGGGTTCAAAGTTGAACTACCAAAATCACAAGACGCGGGTGTTTGAATAGGTTTCCGCGTGATTATTAAATATATGTCACATATACTCTATCTGGTTTCCTCGCCAGAACAATAATCTTCTCTCGACGCGCGTTAGGCTAATCAAGTTAGCATCATCAGGAGATGACTGTAACTACTCCTCACAAGATATTTTAACGTTTTTATATTCATCTACACGAATCATTACCTTACATAATTAGGTTCAAATAATCATTTCCTAAAATTTTGTTATTGTCCAATTGTTATGTCTACCTCACTGATACCTAATCTTTTCCGAAGATGGCTAAAACTACTCCTTACCCCCCTCCCAATGCCCCCCGTGGTTGAGCGCCCTGAGATAGAATCTTCCCCACATGGTTACTGTGTGCAGAAGCTAGAATCTTGTCGATCTACCCCCTCTCTTCCGTGAGTGGACCTCAACCTGCTGATAGGCACTTCAGCAAGATTGATATCTGACCTCCTGGGGTCGAAAGTCAGTCTTTAAGTGCTTTCACTCTCGTGAGCTGTTTATTTTATTTGTCGTGACTTTACTGTGTAATGATTGCATGGGGGTCCCCTTAACCTTACTGGAGACAAGTGTCTTTCGGTCGTGAACTATGTTTATGTGTATGTATCTGCAACAAAATGTGTGTTGGTAATCTGTGTATAAGTTTTTGTACTTACCGGAGCCGCCTGACAACGACTCTCGGAGGTGAGGTGGTCTGATGGTTCTGCTTTGTGGGCCTCATATGTTTAATACCTTTCGCAAAATCTGGGGTCGTTCCTGTTCATGTAGGTCATGCAGCGCTGGACTGGCGTGTGTTCGTATTCTTTTGAATGCGTTTTTGGCATGCTCTCTCATGTATGCGTCTACCTGGTGGATGTTGAGGTCCAGGTCCCGGTAGATGAATCTGTTAGGCCTGTACCTTGGAGCGTTTACGGCAGCTCATAAGCAAGCGTTCCTGAACGTATGGATACTGCATCTATATGTCGCTGCGCACTGGCCCCAGGCAGTGGAGGCATACCAAATGATAGGAAGTAGTACGGTCAGTTTCCCATAAAGACCCATGTTACCCCTCCGGCCTATGATTGGGTATAGGTTTTGTCGGGCGGTCCTCGTCAGCCCTAGTGTCTGCCGTATAAGGGAAATGAACGTCAGTCTCATATCGAAGGCGACTCCCAGGTTGGTACACAAAATCTCTTGTCCTTTGAAGATGACGTTTCATTCTGGGTGTACCAGCCTCCGGATGAACAGTATCGCCTGACTCTTGTCGGGGTTCATACCGATTTTTTAAAGGTGGCCCATTCCTCTAAATCTGTCCGCTTGCTGTTGCAAATATCTGGTGACTTACGTGCGGCTAGTGAATCTCGCCAGTAGAGCTGTGTCGTCCGCTCAGAGTGCCAACTTATTGAAGTTGTTCTCTGGCTTGGGCACATCTGCTGTATATACCGAGAAGGTGTGGGGAAAGAACTGCACCTTGTAGGACTCCTGCTTCCAGAAATCACAAGGTTGAGAGTTCGTGCCTACTCTGCAACGACATCGACGGTCTGCTAAACTACTCCTTACAAGCTATTCTAATGTTTTTATATTCATCTACAAGAATCATTAACTTGTATAATAGGGGTAAATTAATTGATTCCTAGTATTTTGTTATTTATTTTCCTATTGTTATGTTCTACCTGACTGATACCTAATCTTTACCTTTTTTTCTACCTGGAATTATGAACTAGTGGGAACAATAAGCTACTGAGAATGGAACATTCATCACCATTCATAGATCTCATTCCACATTTCTCAATTTCTGAACTTTTGAAGGCATAAAAAAATTTAATATTACTGGAGTAAGAGGAAGTTTATACCACTTTCGATCACTTGGTGATCGAAACACGTGTCGAGGTGTTAAAATAACGCTTTGGTGTTGGAAAAAAACTCCAGTAATATTTATTACTACTCCAAAGGTTCCAAACAGTGCATCATAAGTATATAAAAACTTGTTGTCATGTACCGTCCCAGCGTGATAAAGGTCCTTTTTCTAATTACATAATGTTCCCACAAGTACATAATTATAGCTAGAAAAAAATTAAAGATTAGGTATCAGATCAGGTTGTAAATAACAATAGGAAAATAAATAAAATACTAAGAATCAATTCATTGACCCTCATTATGCAAGTTAATGATTCGTGTAGATGCATATGAAAACATTAACATAGGAGTAGTTTTAGTTATCTCCTAGTGATGTTAACTTCGTTAGCGAAACGCGCGTCGAGAGGCAGCATTTTTGATCTTGTGAGGGAAAAGTGTTTTCAATAGATTTATTTCACGTTAAGTTCCAAATTCCACTTATCACATATATTCAATTGTTAGGCACAAAACAAACATAGTTATAAACCGATTTAGATGGCACTAATGAGAACAATAATAATATTCATTGAATAACAATAATAATATTAGCTGCCACTACCTGTGTTTGCTCGACTACCTGTTTTGGTCTTATTACCTGAGCTGCCTCTCCTGCCTCTGTTATTGTACCTGTATTGTCATGTGCCGAGTTTTGCTTCTGGGGTTGAGCGGTCTGATTGCTTATGCGAAGCGATAAAACGGATCTCCATGTTGATGGTAATCTTTGCGCATCATCCCTCTTGTTCATATTATTAGGTAGTTTTTCAATTTTGATAGCCTTTCTGATTGTTCGAAATTGAAAAACGACCTAATAATATGAACAAGAGGGATGATGCGCAAAGATGATGACGTCTTGTGATTTTGACAGTTTGTTGTTTCGCCTTCGGTTTTGAAGCCATTTTCAAGAAGCTATCACTTCAGTGATGTCTGAGGAGTAGGCAAATTAAGGCCTCAGTGCAGTGATAGCTTCTTGAAAATGAGTTCAAATTTGAACTACCAAAATCACAAGACGCGGGTGTTTGGATAGGTTTCCGTGGTCAGTAGTATATTGTCGTTGAGTTCTGGTTGAACCGCGTCTGGGGTTTTGTGTTTGACTTGACGCCAGTACCTCAATCTGCCTACTCCTTAGACTTTTCATTCTAAGGAGTAGGCAGTTTGAGACCTCAGAGAGAACTAGTGACGAGACCTGGTGAATAGGCAGATTGAGGGTCAGGCGTCAACTCGACAAGTTTTTTCCTGTTAAATATGATTCGAACAACTCTAGAAGATACACCTCTGATCCCATAGTATTCAAGGTTATTTGAATGAATTCCATGATCAATTCAATCAAAGACTAGATCAAAATAAATTCACGTTAGTAAATAACTTGTCAATGTGATCAACTACACATTTGACTGAATAGATGTATTTTTCTTATGATTTACTAGGCAAAAACCATACTGGTACTTACTGATCATCTGATATTCTTGATGTGCGTGTTCAAGTTCCTTTGGAAAAATACACAAACAATATCTGAAAATACATGTGCAAACATCTTTGCTACAGGTATCAGACATTTCAATTCATACTTATTATATGTAATATTCAGAAGGTTACTATGTATACAGAATAAAAATATTCATATATAAACATATAAATTCACATATAAACATACATATGGGTCTCATGAAATGGTAATAGTGGTATAAAATGGATAAAAAATATAAAATTTTTACACAACTATCCACATAACAATCATTGAAACTTTGTAATGTATAATGAGTTTTAGCCAATAATGAAACTTTCACTGATTTCTTGAATATAAAAGTATTACAGGACTTGTTCAAGAAGCATATTATATATTTTTATCCCAGCATGAGTTGGTGATTTTGCAGATGCAGATGTTCTGTGAGCCATTGTTATTAAATAAATAGCATTTTTAGTTCATTTGTTTTTCCTCTAACTCATTTTCACATCTTTTGACATGTAAACAACATTTATATATGTAAATGCAACATTTAGCATTCTCCCAGAACATGATGTGAAGTGATAATGAAGAATGATGCATAATAAACTTGGCTCAGAATAGTCTTATTAAGTTTTTTACCTCAATTGCAAAGTATGATTTGGAATTTTTTGATGAGATAACAATATTCTTAAACCGCAAGAGTGATTTGTCTGAACCTTATACAACCATAACACCACCTAATT